ACCCAGGAGGCGGAGGTTGCGGTGAGCCGAGATCGCGCCATTGCACTCCAGCCTGGGTAACAAGAGCGAAACTCCGTCTCAAAAAAAAAAACAAATGACTTGAAGAAGCCACCAATCTCAGTAGGTGGGCCGGGGCCCTGTAAAGATGCTCAGATCCCAGTTGTCACTGATGGCCACAGGAACTTGGCAGTGGGACTGGGAAGCTTTTTCCTTTGCAGGATTTTAAATTTTGCTTCTTTGTTTCCTCTAGGAACTAAGCTACCCCAACTCTCTGCCCTTCTCCCATCCAAGAGAAACCAGCAAAGTGATAAAGAAGCTAACCTGCCATAGTCAAACTTCAGACTTTCAAGATTATTCTAAATCACCAGAAAATTAATTTCATTTTCTATTGGGAGTTTATACCAGGAGATTCTTCTGGATCTCATTGATCCTTTTGAAGATCTTTTTCTATATTAGGATATAAGAATTATTCAACTTTTCACTCTACAAACTGTTTTAAGAGTTTCCGGGTTTTTTTTAATTGGGTGGTTTGTAATGCCTGCAACCTAGCCTCTGCTCATTTTTTTCCAACCCCAACGCTGACAGGGTCCTTGGAATTCTGTGGGAAATCCTCCAAGGACTCTGTCAGCTGTGTTGAGGCCAAAGCCAGCTTAGTGGGACTTCCGTGTTCCTCCCTAGTCTTATGCCCTTTGGATGATGGCAGAAACTTCATGAACCAGCCCTTTCTCAGAGCCAGTGATGTGACTGTATCAGAATGCCAGGCAGGGCACCAGCCCTAATCCACAGACCTCGGAACAATACCCCTGTTCCTTTGCTGAGGGTGGTTTTGGTAAGGCAGAGCCCTCTGCTGAGAATGTAGTATTGTTTTTCCTCTGTCTCTCCTGCTCTGTTCTTTTTGGAGCTTCTTTGGGTCAAAGACATAAGAAGTTGCTTCAGATATCTGATACTGTGAATGTTTGAACATATGCGTGGCCTTCACCTCTCCAGCTACCCTTTTACCTCATCAGAAGCAGTGGCTCAGCTAAGTGCTCCCCCCAGCTCCCATCTCAGGAGACCAAATCTCATGGAAAAATAAGCATTTTTGGCCAAAAGCTCTAATGGAACATTTTTAGTGGTGATTTGGGGAAGGAAAATTAATGAGGTTTTTAAAATAAGGTTTTCTAGTTTCGAGAGTGTGCACTTCACACAGGAGAATGAGGTTACCTCCGTCAGGTCCTGGGCCTTTCATCCCAAATGATAAGGAATGTGGATCAGAGCCGAGGTTGTGGGTTTGTTTTTTTTTTTCACCTTTCTTCTCCCAGCAGGCACCTGCCTGAGGACATCCTTCTAGAGCAAAGAACTGGCTTTTAGGAGCCGTCCCCCCCACAAGCCACCACATGACAAGGGATACAAACCCCAGCCCTGTTCACTCCCACTCACCATCTGAGGTCTGTCAGGGTTCGAAGGCTTGATTTTGTGGTGGGTTTGGGGCTTAGATTTTCTTTTTTGGGGTTTGGTTTTTGAAAATAAAGATAATGCCCTGATTCCTGGAAGGATTTGGGAGCATTTTTATTGAACACAGCTTCTCTAACCTTCCAACTGCTTCCCACAAACACATTGGCATGGAGGCTCCTTAGAATCCCAGTGCTGGGCTAGAAGTGAACTTCCTATAGACAGTGGTTAATGGGCGGCAGTCACTGGGCCCAAGAAGAGTGAGTGAGAGAAATGTCTAAAGCTGCTTATTCCAACACCATCCAAAGTCTCCACTGCCTGAGTTTTGTTTCGGCTGGTTTGAACTCATTTTGGGTGTGTGCATTTTTCTTGTGGTACCTATGTGAGGAATGACCAACAGGAGGGAAACAAGAGCCCTGGTGGGCCGTGTGACAGGCTTGGGGGGAAAGAGCTTGTCCTACCTCAGGGACAAACTTACAGGCTGTGTCTGAAAGGTGGGGCCTTGGGGTGGTGCCTAAGCCTGGCCATGTTGCCAGGAGTGGTAGCAAGTGAGAAATGCAGCTTACATCAAACAAACATGTAGTGTGTGCCCACTGCCTGATGGATAGGTGTCCTGCAGAAAGAGCTCCCAGGGCTCCCGGACCTGTGGAACAAATAGGACGGTGAAAAGGCAAAGGGCACTGAGTATCCCTTTAAAAACTTAACACACTGAATATTCCATGTGATCCAGATCAGTGTGGCAGTGGCCTAAATGTTTCCTTCAGCTCTGTCACCAGTTCACTTCTCCCAGCTTCCTTGTCTATAAATTGGACCAGAAGAACTCTGATGCCTTTCAAGCTCTGAGAAGCCATAGATTTGGACAAGCCCAGCAAGATGGGTGTCCTTCCAGGCCTCTTCCCCTTTCCTTCATCTCTGGCAACAGATCTTGGGGTTTGGCAATTGTTTGGATTTTTTTTCTTTCTGCAATTGTGTGTATGTATGTTTGTGTGAAGAAAAACAGACTCTGTCCAGGTAGAAATGGTAAAGAGGGGAAAGAGAATTACATTTCCAGGGTCAGAAACTTGGCAACAGTTTTTCCTAAAGTGACTCAGACACCACAGTAACAATGCTCACAACAGTTTTTTCTAAAGTGACTCAGACACCACAGTAACAATGCTCACTGCAGTTTTATTTTCACTTGAGAAATAAAGATTTCCTCCAAGCTACATGAGGACTCTGGCACCCACCCACAAAGCAAGACCTGTATTTATAAGCTGAGGGCTCAGGGAGCCTAACTGCAGGAACTGTCAGGGCACTGCGACATGTGCCCCCCCCCCAGGCCCATCACTGGGCATTGGGGGGATGTTTGGCAGCTGGGGGTAAGGAGACAACAGACCTCCGGAAGTAGAGCCAGAGCTATGGCCTGACTGAAGCCCCTTGATGTGCACAGGAAATTTCTGCCCAGGATCTCAGCCCCAGGCTGGTTGTTTTTACAAATCTCTCTCAAATTATTATTTTGGTGACAAAATGAAGGAGCTTTGTAAATTTTTTTAAAATTATGAATCATATCAAGTAGTTGTTTACATTTCTTGAAAAAAATAGGAACTCTGGCAGCAGAATCAGATTGGCAGAATCCTTAGACTAAACACGCAATAATCAAGTCTGCTGTTTCGGCCTTTTTTAGGAGAAGTGGTTGTAGTGTTTAGAAATGTTTGGTCTTGCTTCTTGTATTGCATTTTTTTTTTCAATAAACAACAACAAAAAGAACAACAAAAAGTCTCTTTGAGGATTGATCCACTTTTAAATTTCTCTTCTACCAGCAACTTGGGAAAAATTAAATATGGGTGGGAGAGACCTAAACCCAAGCCATTTTCTAAAGTAAGTTACCCACATTGGCCAAAGTGCAGTTTCAATGTTGGGTAAAGGCATTTCTGAGAACTGACCAATGCCTTTTGCCAACTGGAGGGAGATTTTGCAGCATAGGCCACGGTAAAGGAGAGAAGGGGCTTCTCAGGCTTGTTTGCAGAGGGGCCAGACCTCAATATGAAGGCATTGGCAGTAGTGTAGCTCTAGAGGGATATACCCCACATGGCTGAGGGAAGAAAAAGATTGGGGTGGTGAGAGTTCAAGGCTCAGTCCCCATCCCAGGTGGCAGTGGAAAGCCTCACCACCATGGCCCATCTTCCCAGAGGTCCCAACTCCATCAGCAGTGCTGCCTTGGAAGGAGCCTGGTCCGGCCTGTAACATCCCAACCTGCCTCCCAGTCTTAGGGGCCCTTGCCCATCCCTTTTCTTGGGTTTGCCAAGACACCAGGTATATCTCCCTGTCACCTTGGCCTGGAACGCCAGTGCCCTCAGGTCTAAGGCCACTTACAGAGGCTGACAAATTCCTGAGGCGAATCCTCCACACTCCACAGTGAAATGCACCCTCTCCAGCTCACTGAGCCCTAGTGCAGCTGGCATTTCTCTGCCCACATGCAGGTTGGGATGCCATCCCCAGCCTGGGATGTGAATGAAACATCTAGACGTTGGGACTCCCCGTCCTCTGGTCCTATTAGCATGGTCAATGCTGCAGCCTCAGAGCAGGCTGTCTCCCCTCTCTTCAGACCCGGGCCCCCAAATCCCTTCCTCCTCCTCCACCTCCTCCTCCCAATTTGGCATAACCCCCAAGACTGAGGCGGTCCAGCCGTGGCCAGCTTCGGTGAGCACAGTCCCGAGCTGCTGGGGCCCCAAGGAGGAGCTCCCCAAGGCCCAGATCCAGAGACTTGGAATGTTCAATGCAGGAGCCAGAGGGCTGCACGGTGATGATCACATGGCCAGTCTGCGTCCGTGGACCCCAGGGTGGGGACAGCCCGGGGCCCTTCAGTGGGTAGCTGTTGAGAAGGGCAGGTAACCCCAAGCGAGGATTAGCAGGCTCTGAACGCAGACTCCGCACTGAAGGGACAGGTGAGGCACCCCGACGCGGGGACGGGTCCCAGATTTCTGGCTCTGCGCAGCCTACGGCTCGGGGAGTCCTAGGGCCGGGGCTGGGAAGGAGAGCGCAGTCCCAGCCGGGGCCGTCGAGGGGCCGAAGCGCCTGGGCCCTCAGCACCCCCTGGCGAAGCAGTCTCGTCTCCAAGTCTCGGTTCTCATAGAGCAGCGTGTTGGCACAGATGAACACGAACAGACCGACGCCCATGATCACTGGCCCGAGGAGCCGCAGCCGCTCGTGCGGGCCGTGAGCCCGGCCCCCGCCGCGACCCTCGCGTCGCATCTCGCTCAGCGGGGGCGAGCTAGCATTGGCGGCCCGGGACCCCGGGGCTGCGGCCCGGTGCGGCCAGTAGCCGGCCACTGCGATGCCCATACCCACCAGTACCACGAGGGCCCCCAGCGCCGCGAACGCCCCCGACGGCGAGCGCAGCCGCAGCCGCGCCCGCACCCGCAGAGGCTCGGGCGGGGAGCGCGGGCGCCGGCGGCGGCCCAGGCGGCGGCCCAGGCGAGAGACGCGGCCCTCTGGGCTCCTCCGCACCTCCCCGCAGTCTCCGGGGCTCCCGGCTGTCATTTCGCCGTCGTCTGGGCGCCCTGAGGAGAGAAGATGGGAGGCAATGACTGGACCGACGGACCTCTAGGTTCGGGGCGCCAGATTCCGGACGCAAATCCGAGAGGGAAGCTCCAGCTGCCCAGCCCAGGCCGCTTGGAGATCCCTGGCGGCCACCCCCGGATTTTCCCGGGCGGCGAGGCGGGGAACCGCCCCCGCTCGGGTTTTCCGCAGCGGAGCTACGAGCCAGGGACGCGCGGCAGAAGCCGGAGTTGGCCCGGCCCGCGGGCGGAGAGGAGGGAGGGGGGCGCAGGCTGCTCCTTGGTGCATCCCGGGCTGCGAGGCTCCCGCCACCTGCGTACTGTTCCCAAGCCAGCGGGTCTCGGGCCTCGGGAAACGTGCAGCCCCCGGCAGCCGAGTCTCCAGGGTAAGTACCTCCCCGGCTCGACCCCACCCCCGCACGTGGCTGCACCGTAGCAAAGGGGGCGGGAGCGCTAGGGCCTCCAGGGTCCGCCGGGGTTGCTCGCCGGGTCCCACCTCCCCCCTACTGCGTTTTCCAAACCGCAGCGTGGGAGGAGGGGGCGTCACCAGCTCCACCCTCTCGCTGCCCACCCCCTCCTTCCAGACCTCCTCCGTCAGCACCGAAGCTGCAGCAGGAGCGACTTGAGCTAGACACCCGGAAGACCGCTCGGACCAAGAGCATCCAGGCAGAGGAGGAGACGCGGCGCCCGACTTTGCCCAAGATTTCCATCAACTCCGCGCAAGAGAGGCCTCTCCCTCCCCAGCGGTCGGGCTGGGGCCACGGCAGGAGACAGGGGTGCCAGTGCCGGTGCCGGGCGCTGGGCCCCGCCGGACAGATGCCCTCCCGGCTTCCCCGTCGGCCCGGGCCCGGGCAAGGCTGTTCCCAGGTTGCGGCGTTTCCAATTCGGGTTCCTCCAGATGAATCATCCCCCTTTCCCGCCGCCTGGCCTCCTTTCCGGCCTCCTCCGCCCAAGGCCTCCGTGGCCCACGTCCCGGCCAGAGCAGCACCCGCCCCACAGCTTAAGCCCTCCCGATTGCTGGCTGCTCCATGCCTGCGGCCTGTGGCCTGGATCCCGGCCCCAGCAGGAGTGGCCGAGCTGCGTGCGGTGTGACCCCCACAAAAGGGAGGGCTGGGGAGGAGACGCGGCCCCCTCCCAGGCTCCCCGGGCCGCAGGAGAGGAGGCTCAGGGCCTGGCTGTCCTGCGTCGTCCTCACTGCCCGCATCCGCTTCCTGAAGAGCCACCGCGCTGGAGCCCATAGCCGAAGCCTAGGGGAGGCGGCCTTGCTCCCCCACCCACGCCCCATCTGCACCCCGAAGCTCAAAGCAGGACACCCATCCCTGCCTCCGACTGGAGTGCTCAAGGCACGGGCCTAGCAGGGAGCCGCAGCTCTCCCGCGTCCAAATCCTGGTTTCACAGATTGCAACTGTGCCCAGGGAGGCCGGAGAGCGTGCCCGACCCCGCACTAGGCGGGGGCTCTGCCAGGTCTGACGCCGGGCTCCGGTCCCCAGCTCTGGGCCCCTCTCAGGACAGCCACGGGAGCGTCCGGGAAGAAGCGAGGCCCATCCACTCCTTGTCCCTGAGTTTGCAGCCCTTTCTCCAGCCCGCAACCGGAGGAGGGACCACCGCTTCAAGCCAGAGCTGGCGCCCCCAGCCCCGGCTCCAGCAAGGTCACCCGGACCCCCGCACATCGCTGCCGCGAGGGAGGCAAAAATAGAGCGGGGACATGGGGAACACTCTCAGAGACCCCGAGCCGTGGAGGGAGTGGGCAGACGCTGGGGACCCCAGGGGAGGCGGAAACTTGGGGACACAGCGCACAACCCGACGGAAGCTACTGGGGCCGAGTCCCCTGGACTTCGGGATCCCGCCACCGCCCGCGTCCACACTCCAGCCCGGGGGAAACGGAGGGCCGCGCTCCCGTACCCAGGGGCCCTGGCCGAGGGAGGGGACAAACGAAAAGTTAGGAAAAGTGGAGCGCGGACCCCTGAACCCCAGCTCGGCTCACCTGGCGCCGCAGCGCCGCGCGGGTCCGGGTCTACAGTCCACGCGCCTAGGCTCCGGAGCCGCCCGGGTCTCCACGGGCCGGCCCCGCCCCCGTCCCGCCCCGGCCCCGCCCTCAGCCCCTGGGACCTTCGGACACGCGCGGGGCCTGGCCCCACCGCCAGTGAAAGGCGGCAGCTTAGGTTGGAGGGTCGCAGGTGGGCGTCGTGAGCGCGCCTGGTGACTCCGGGCACCCGGGGCCCCAGTCCTGCAGTCCCCACTCTCCCACTCGCAGCTTACATCAGTAGCAAAGGCCCGGAAGGGCGCCCCGTTCCCACATGGGGGAAACTGAGACCGGGACACAGGAGCCCCGACACCCGCACATTGTCCCCCGCCTCCCGGAGCTCCTCATTCCAGGCTCCCGGGGAACTTCCCGGAGGAGGCGGCCCGAGTCCCTGCTCCGCCCCAGCCCTGCAGCCCTTTCTGTCGCTGGACCTTGCGGACTTCATCTGTGCAATGGGTACGGCGGCGTCAGCCTCGCAAGATACCGAGAGGCAACAGCCAGACGCTAAGGGCCAGCCCCGGGCGACCCCACGAGCCCCCAGCGAAAGCAGTGCCCGGAACGGGGAGGGTCTCGTAGCTGAGCGGACCGGACGGGGTGCGGCGGTCCCGCCGGGCCCCCCTAAGAACAGGCCCCCCTGCGCCAGTGGTGAAGCTGCCTTGTCCCCAGTAACTGGGAGGGTGCCGAGAGCTGCGACCCGGCCGACGGGACCGTAGGGGGCGGCCCGGCCTCCCAGCCCTCCCGCCCCTGGAGGCAGGAATGCAGAGCGGGGGAGCCGGGGCGGCCGGCGGGAGGCCCAGTTTCCATGATGCGGGGGGCGGGCTCGGGGGAGGCGGGGATGGGCGATTTCCAGGCTCTGCGGCCAGGCCGGGGCCCCCGGGAGGAATTTCCGGCCTAGGATTGATTAGGGCCCGCCCCTCCCCCCGGCCGCGGAGACCCCCGGCGCGCGGCCGGGAGGAGGGGCGCTAATGAGACCCGGCTGCGCGCCGCGGGCGGGTAAGGGACCCGCGGAAAGGGGCGGGCCGGGGACACCCCCCGACGCGGGGCGGAGCTGGGTCCCGGAGCCTCAAGGCCGCGCCAGGCCTTGAACCCGTGCTCCTGTCCTCTGGCTCGGCGGAGGAGACTGGGGGTGCATTAGCGCCCCAAAACCTCTCTCCCAGCTCTCCGAGGCCAAGCCTCCTTGGGATACACCTCGAGGGGTCAGTGAGGTCATCGGCAGACTGGAAGGGCCACAGTGGGGGAGACTGAGCCTCGGCTCCCGGGCTTCATCCCCGCCAGTCCCGGTGCGAGAGCTAAGCCAGGGCCTCCTTCTTGCCTCCCCCGTCCGACTGGAGGTTCCTGAGGTCTGGGTCAGCTCCTCGCTGCCTCCTGCGCTCCACGGAGGCCGCGGCCACCCTCCAGCTCCTTTGCTTGGGACCCCGTCCCCCATCGACCCTCCGCTTCGTCCACTCCCCGCACACTGACCCCACCGCGGCCGAACCTCCGCCCCCTAACTCGCCCTCCCACCCCTGGGCTTCCTCAATCCCACCCCATGCCGGCCCCTCCCGGCCCACTGCTCTTCGTCCAACAAGCCCAGCCGCTATTCTGGCTCCCTGGGCCCCCTCATCACCCCCTGCCTCCCTCTCCGGGAAGGGCCCTTTGTCCACCCACGAACGTGGTCAACCTTGGGCCCCTTCCTCACCCCCCTCATCCCACCCACAGAGCCTTGGTGACCCTGCTCTTTTCATCTGGAGCCAGCCACGTTCTCCCTTTCCCTCGGCCCCTGTCCTCCTAGAGCCCATGCCCTGCCTCCCGCGTCCTAGTGTGCTGCAGACGGCCGGCAAGGACTATCCACTCCGAATCTGAGCCTGCCTAAAACCATCAGGGACTCCCCAGATCGAGTTTGAAATGTCTTCTTGTCTCCACAAACTGGCCCTGGGCCTCTTAGACTCCCTGGGGGCTTGGCTGGTCCTTGCTTTCCGGCAGAAACACTTATCCCCTGCCGGTCGTGCCCTTGCCGCCTTCTGCTCATCCTTCAGCCCCTGGGCCTGAAGGGCCTTCCCCTACCCCTCAGACCAGGTCAGTCCCGGCGCTCCGGCTGGCTATACACCCTGAGGACACCAGCAGCCTCGCCGTGTGCCTGCAGACTGAAACCACTGGGCGTGGAGTCTGTTTCCTGTCAGTGTCCCCACGAGGCCGTGACTCTGAAGGGCAGGACAGGTCTGTCCTGCTCATCCCTGGAGCCCTGTGTCCAGCAAGGTGTCTGCCCACAGCTGGCCATCCTCATTCGAGGAGGGTGTGCAGGCCTGTGTCTCCTCCAGCACCGAATCCCCTTCCTGATCTCCACCCCAGGTGCCCTGGCCCAGGCAGCAGGAGAGAAAGGATCCTCTTTGTCTCAAGCTCCCTATTTGTAAAAAAGGGAGAAATAATACCTACCCTGAAGTGTTGTTTTAAAGGTTAAATAGGAGTTCCCATGTGGCCAGGTGTGGTGGCTCACACTAGTAATATTCCCAGCACTTTGTGAGGCTGAGGAGGGAGGGAAGGAGGCTCACTTGAGCCCAGGAGTTCAAGACCAGCCTGGGCAACATAGCAAGACCCTGTCTCTACAAAAAATTTAAAAATTTGCCAGGCACCATGGCACCTGCCTATAGCCCCAACTACCCGGGAGACTGATGCAGGAGGATCTCTCGAGCCCAGGAGTTTGAGGCTACAGTGAACAATTGCAAATATATACGTGTGTGTGTGTGTGTGTGTGTGTGTGTG